CTGCACAAAACAGTTGACGTTTTAGCAAAACTTACATCTTATCAGTGACGTGATGGGAGGGAGAACAGGACATGATGCCAAAGGCATATTCACGGTCACTGTGCCAAGGAAATGCAAAACAGTTGTATTTTTATTTGTTGTTGTTGTCTTACTTAATTTCCATCATGTTGCCATCAAAATCTGATTGTGTAGAAAACTATATACCGTATTTATCGCCGTACACTTCGCACCACCCTATAAGTGGCATCAGTCCAACAATTGTTTGCTTGAAATTATAGCAAATGTGTGTCTCAGTTGAACTTTTACTTAATAAAAAGGACTTTAATGGTCAGATCAGCTGCATTTCACTGTGGCGGCGCAGCGAAAGGAAGCTGATTTGAGTTTTGCTCTAAGCAAGCTGGACGAAGGTGGCCCTACGGCAAGCCGATTGTGTCATTAATAGCCACTTTTATCTATTACATGACACAACGGCATGCCATACTGCTCGAGTGCCATCTAATGTCTGAAAACGGTAGTGTTCAATATTTTCAGTCAGAATGAATGAAAACGGTCATATCTCAGCCAAAAGTTGGTTTATAAATATGAGAAAAAAATCCATAAATACGTCGCTTTGGCGTATAAGTCTTTCTTGTATTGTGATATCTTGTTAATATGGACATTCTCACCATGTACTGATGGGGCACAGTTCTACAATTTAGCTAATATTCAGAAAAATGTTCTATGGGTTGTCATGATATTTTTACAAATTTTATTATTTTTCAGTGCTTGCAATTATTATTATTTTTTTTTTTATTCTAGCACAACTCCTGTCAAGTTTACTGCAAAGTTCATAAACAAGCTCTATATGGGGAAACGTATAGAAATTATCTTAATTAGTATCTTAGTTACTTGGTAAATTAGTATCAGTGACATGCAAAATGATTTTAAAATTACATTTACAATAAGTAATCCCACTGTGTTCTATTAAAACTAATAACTCATGCTCTGGCTGAAATATGATCCTAAACATGCTTTTAGTCATACATGCTGTGTTTTGTTTTTTATAATTTTGGGGGTAATTGTTTAGTTATAGAAAAATCTAGAGAAGGAGGAGAAACCGTCCAGAAAACCTGAATGAACATTGTTGGATTTGTACCTGGATTATTGAGCATGAACTGTTGGTGTCTGGAGTAGGAGGGTTGATGTGATGTACGCAGAATGTGGCCTCCTTGTTCTAGTAATGATCTGTTGCAGAGCAGAGATAATTATTACATAAATAATTAAATAATTAATCAACTTTCAAAATCTGCGATTATTAGTTTGGAACATGTTGAGCTTCATGTGTCTAGTGTGTATATATGTGTGTGTATATATATATATATATATATATATATATATATATATATATATATATA